CTTTCATTTCAGAAAACAGGCGCAGAATCGGAAACGTTATGTCATATATATATAATCTTTTCATTATTTCAAGTCAAATTTAATGCTAAAGCGGATAGAAGGAATATGTCATTCTCTGGTTCGAAGCACAGGTAATACTACATGGTGAAATGCGGGTACAGGTATCTACTAGCTGCCAAAAAAGTAAACTTGACATTTCGAACTTCTGAAGAGTGGCCCCTTCGGTGTCATGGGAACCATTCCACTGCTACCTAAAATCAGAGCTATATAATGAGGCCAACTCATTTTAAGGTTTATGTGACAATCACCTCCTTCGACCCTACTTCGCGGCGGAAGAGGTGACGGGCAAAAGTCCCAACATGTTAATAATCGCGCTCCATGACATTGGTAGCTGCCCTTCCTGTACTTTGTTTCGCTGACTAAAGCGCTCCTGGCAGTATCATCGACTTAAAGGGAGCGTGAACGCTTGTTTCTCCAATATTTAGCTGCGGAGAAACTTCCTTGACGTAGTAACATTTACGACATCCACCTGTTTAACACTTAAGATTTTTTTCAGTCACGCCAAGGAGCAAGTTTACTTCCTGAACTTCTCAATTAAGCAGCCCTTTTGATTTATTTACTGTCTTTAGTTTATGACCAATTGGTTATTCGGCAGGGCAATAAATAGAAAAAATTTGTTTTTGAGAAATTCATGCTCCGTCCAAGTCAGCGTACTTCAACAAACTTTTGCAGCGCTTTGTTTCTGCAACGCTCTGACATTTCCAGTAATTAACTCAGTGTCGATTACGAACTTGCAGCTTTTCAATTACCCACAACTGACATTGATTCGCTGCTCTAAAATTGTGAGTAGATAAAATGAACTTTTTTTGACACGCGCATTGATTCGGGGCTCAAATGCTGATTCTATCAGGTACTCCCTAGCACTGAAGGATTCTACTAAAGTACTCGTGAGGCAATCTAAAAATTATTTCGTGTATGGCATGTTTCAAATTCATGCCATTGAGGCAGAGGCGACCAACGTCTATCAACCCTCAGCAAGTTGTGAGACAAATTTAGCCGTGTGAATCACCGATCAAAAGGTCGTGTCAATCACTATCTACAATTGATACAAACCGCAACCGTAACACACACATACCAAAATGTACTGTTCTGCTTTTCGCTTAGAGATAGAATGCGCTCAATGAATTAATCAATAATCATAACTCTGACATTTCCTATATCGAAGATTAGTTCCGTATATGGATACAAATGAATATTTTTAACCGTACAAATAGCCCTACTAAATGAAAAAAGCAAAGTTAACGATATACAAGAAAGTGTAGATTTAAAATTCAGCCTATCTTGTTGATATTTGCACATCTCGAAATGTCGCGTAGTTCATGGATATAACTACATGTACTTCAAGAACCTCTAACTAGCACAGCTGTAGTGTAAAAAAGATACACAAAACTTAGTATGACTTTTACCGACGGAATGCTAAGCGCAACAAAACAGAAAAAACATACTTCACGCGGCATCGCACGCTTTGGTTCCACCTCTTTGCCATCAATGACGTGAGGTCGAGAAGCCATAGCGGTATCCAACTGCTCAGCTTCTGCATACGTAACAAACCCAAATCCACGAGATCTCTTCGTATGTGAATCCCTCATTACAACAACGTCTTGAATTTCGCCCCATTGCGAATAGAAATCCTTAAGCACTTGTTCTGTCGTGTTGGCAGTGATTCCACCAACAAAAAGCTTTCGAAACTGTTCTTCCTTCAAGTACATAGAAGTGAAATTAATGAAGTCCTACAAAAAACTTACTTCTATCTTGCCCGGCATATTTCTACCCAAATTTTCAACAATTTCACTATATATTGGTTACAATTCAAACAGCACCAGTATTAGGTGTACAGTAATGAATCGCCGGAAATCGAACATGCTCATCAGGTACTTTTTTATGCTTATATCTCGTCCTCTTGCGATAAAAACCTGGAATTTTACTAAAGAATTGGCGAGTAACATGGGCGCGAAATCGGAAAACATTTATGTAAATCAGTTGGCGTTAATTTACAATTATGTGCTTCAATTATTATTTGGAATATCGAAATATCTACCTTGATGGTAATTGTCTGATGAATTCCGCTGAAACGAATATTAAAAGGCTGTCTATTTCGACAAAATAAAGGATGGAAAGAAATTCGATATAACTCCTGGGCTACCCGTCGCTTTTAACATCAGTTCCACATGTGGCATAATTCTTTGATGTACTACTTTAAACGCCGATCAGCTGCATAGTAAAGGGCCTCCTGCATTTAAATAAATCGTTCATCTCTATCTGAACGAAAACAACAAAGCCTCATTCGATTATGTGCCGTGCAGATGTGTGATAGATACCCTGATCACATCATAGTTACGGAAAAAATTATTTTTGCCTCCAACAGCACACAAACACAATAACTGTAAACAAAGTGCCCAACACGCTAACGACTGAAACATCTTGTCCTACAAGGAAAGATTACTTCGTTGGTTCACGAAGTTATTGATGGCAGGACCTTGTTCAGCCATGTAGAATTAATTACATCGTAGTCGAGGTACATCTTACTCAAGTGGTACAAGACTTGGTCAGGTGGTAACCGAAGGTATACTTTTATGGTAATAGTGACTCTGCGTGTTCGGCCATGCAGCAACTTCAATTGCATCAGAATCTCTTGCCGAACTATTTGTCAAAATGTTTTGGGCCATGCCTTTGTGTCAGATCTTTCGCCAAAGCCAGAAAATTGTTTCGTAAATGAGCTGAGTCGATTGTGGTTATAAACATCTGCATGCGTAAATCAAAGAGTTTGGTAAACGCTTTTTCTCCACTCCAACTCAGAAATTGTTCAATCCTATAGGCAGCTATCACTCAGTGGTTTGGTACACGTGATATATTCGTTTTCACATATTTCTTAGAGTGAACTGAAAGCAATGCTTCAACTTGCCCTTCAGTATAATTTAAACCTGAAAGTTTTTTAAATGGGCCAACTTTGAACGAACAGTTAACGTTAAGTTTCGGCTATGTTAAGTTGATTTCATTTAATTTTTATATTCAGCGATTCAAATTACTCATCATTGATACTACCTTATACTTAGTCACTTTAGAGTCAAAACTGCCACTTTCTTTCGAACAAAGCTGAAGTGTTTTTTTGAAACAAGTTTTGACATGTTCTAAGCACTCGTTTAAAGTTAAATTTTAAACATTTATTATATGCAACCGTATTTATACTCTATTTTTCAGCATTAGTTCGGCATCCGAATTGAATAGAGAATTAGCACAATCGCCTTTGATTTCGGATTACACGTAACCTTCTCGTATTTCAGAGTAGTGAAACACCTTTGGCTCGGGTCAAGTTTCAACAACTTGACCCCATTTAGGTGATGAGCCATAATCGAAGCCGAGTTCATAGTTAGATATGCAAAACATTATAATAATGCAGATATTTTTAAAAGAAAGGCTTTAAAGGAAATTTAGAGAGGACGATGCAGTCTGCAGTTGATGTGGCGCCCATTTTGAGGAGTTAAATTATTGGCGGTGTTGGTTCAAGTCAAGGGGCGTTTTGCAGTGCTAAATGTTTTTTTTGCATTTTTCGTCAACTTTCAATTCAACATTTTCGGAGAATTGACAGTTGTTGAAAGAAGGCTTTCATTACAGATGCCGCATAGGCAACCTTTAAACCGGACTAATGTGTCAGTGTTCCACGCAAGGACGAGTTTCACTCGGAAAAGAAGATTGAGACCTTATTGCGAAAACATGAAAAGACCTTAATTACGAGTCCATGTAGTTTACGACCCAATTCAAGATAGAGAGTGTTTCAATCCCCACGTCAGGAAATATATCTGAAAATCATGACCACATTTTTAACAAGATATCTACTATCACTGGACAAATCAGTGATCACTGGACAAATACAGATTTAGTCTTTTAAAAATGCAACGCACAAGTGACAGCCTGGTTTCTTGAAGAATAAACTCTCAGTATTCAAGTCGTTCTTAATCCCCATGCTTACCTACTGCCAGTGATAATGGTTCATGACTATAAATCATTGATTCGTGGCACCAGCGTTTAAAATGGTATTTCTGAAACAATTCGCTGGCCTTGTGCATCTATAAATTCGCGAAAGCCTTTAAATACAGCCGGTGGTTATTCAGATTCAAAAGTCGCAGCTGCGAAGATTTTGGCACGTTGTGCGAATTTTTCCAGAAAGGACTGCACGCAGCAACTTCTTGTCCAACCAAGTGGCTAATGGCCCCAGGTACGATCAAGATTAGTCTGACGAAAATGTGTGGAAGGAGTCTATTTTAGACTCCGGTTGTCCTCTGCCGATGTTGTTCAGACCCTGACTCATGATAAAGAACATCAAAAGCACCATCTGACGTGTTTGCATAACCGAACCGGACGTGTTTATGGAAAGTAATGCTGATATCAGCGCAGAAATACATCCACGACATAAAATTGTGCAGGCTAAGAAGGAAACAAAGAAATTCATATGAACTCGAACAAAAGATTAAAAAGAACCGAAATAACGCAACGACTGGCAAACAACAGATATGTCATCTTGTGACATCTTGTTTAACTGCGAGATAAATGAGTTGTCACGGACAGTGCGTAAAAATGGGTCTAAAACAACTCTAGAAAATGTCAACTAAATTATTTTTTCTCTTTCTTTTTTTCGGGAATTCTACGTCGAGTGTCGTTCAAGCATTTTTTGGACCGAATAAACGCGTGCCAACGCTTTAGTCGTTTTGATGTTGTGTCATTTCTAGAGATATTTTACATCGTGTTTGATGTCCTTCTGATGGACACCTGATATTAGCCCTTCCGTTCATTAGCTGATTTATAAGCAGAATATCCATACGAATACTGTTTGGCATCGATATTGGTCGGATGGCGACGATGTTGTTACCAGACTATACATAAAAATAGTTGGACCACTACATGCTGAAATGTCGCAGTTGTAAAGTATTATATACTATATACCAATGGTTTTTGTGCCATGCTCAACTTCCCCTAAATCATTCAGATGGCAATTAACTCTCTGCCTACCAAATATTTGCTCGAAATAATTTTCAAGAATTGGATTTCTATTACAGCTTTATACCTGTCAACGTAGCAGGGGTACATAATGTTTAAGCTACTCATGTTTATTGTCATATTTGGTAAGTTCATCCCGACCTTGAGCATTCACCAGAGCTTTACGTATTGATCTTTAGGCAACGTTAAAATGCGGCGCCAAAATTTGCATATGTGCTTGGACCGTAACTTGTCGCTTGGTTTTGTGTTTACTGTATTACTCATAATTTTTGCAGCTGTTTGCACAAAATAAACATTAATGGTCTTAATTCGGTCTCTTTGATCATGCTGCCAGCGTTTTATGATCGGATTTGCCAAGTGTCGTTGGCTAGTGTGTTACCTATTAATTTTTTAGGTAAATTTTTTTGAAAAGTTATGAATTATGTAATTATCAATACATTTTAGAACTGATGTGCTTTTTAATGCCTCTCTATATCGGTGATAATAGAAAATGCTCTCAGATGTGTTGTTTACTTAAGAAAGAAAATGTATCTTTGATAGGGATAACTTGTGATATGACTGCACTGCTCTAAAGGCACGAGGTATAAATCTCTAACAAAATTAACGGAAGAAATTTGCTCACGGTGCGATGACTGCACCGCAATTTAAAGAGATAGTTGTCTTTAAGTAGGCATGTTGTCGACTTCGATTATACCGGAACAGATCCCTTACCCGGCTTAGATGTTTGGCCTGGTGCCAGTGTAAAATCTTTGCCTCTATATTCTTTTTTCAATCATTCGCTGAGCCACAAAGGTCCATACTGCACATTCTCCGTTTGACAATTCAGTTTCTGGATCCAGCATGTAGGACTGATTGTTCACATTTTGTGTGCCTAGATTCCAAACCCTTTGAAGATGGTGGTACCTCTGCCATATATCAAGTGTCTGCAGTTTGATAAGCTAGTTATAGTAAGTTTTGTTTCTGTTAGATGTTTTTGTAGTTTTACCAGAGTGGTGGTTACTAAATACTGCAAAGCATGATTCAGATGTTCAGTTTAATGATCTGTAACATGCCATTAAACAGGACATGCTTCCCGGCGTGATACGTGCAAATGTTTCAACAACGGAATAGATGTAAATTACTAAAAAATATACAGAGAACACGGTTTATGCTGTTATGAAATACATTGTGCTGCGTAAGTGCTTTTGAAGGAAGACTGATTACTTACTGACATTTGACGAATCCCTGACGTATAGATAATGATGACTTCTAGTGAACTTCGGCTCTGGCTGCCTGATGAATTGTCAATTGAGCTTATTCCTTGTCGCCTTTGTTCAGGCAGTCTAATTTCAGGATTTCAGCGGCCATTGCCAAATATTTTTAGTTACAACAGCATTAAAAAGGAAACAAAGGCTACATTTAATAACGCTGGATATCAAGAAGTTTGCCTTTGTATTTGAAAGGGCACCCTCATTGACTAGCCGAGATTTGTGACAGAATATCTGTTCAGCTCGGCATGGTAATTTTTCAATTTAACTGTAATTTCTACGTTGTATATAATACAATGCACGTCAGTACACATTGCATCTACCTGATCGTCCTGTTCAGCTCTGATTCCATCATTGCCGAAGAAAATTGGCGTCCCCGTCCTAACCTGTTTTTGATTTGCAACTTTACTGCGTATAGTTACTTACTACATCAGTTTGTTAAAATAATCCACTGAAACTTACAGCTGCAGAATAATTGGAACTTTTGTTTGTTGTATCATTTTTGGTCTATTTTTGTGATAGCCGTCTTTCACATTCAGACTTTGCTGAATCAGTCATATCAAGCCATCCACGAGGATATGTTTTTGACAGAATATATATAAATTTTTCACAAAGCAAGAACCAAATGAAAACACCACATATCCGAAAAGCAGGCATGCCATAATAAGACAGCCTCGTTAATACAACTCGAAAGATTGGGTGGCGGTTGACGATTTGCGTGATTTCCGTGCATTCACCTGACTAGAAGCCGTAGTGTAGCAGTATATAGGCTATTGAAAATTCATCAGAGTTATGGCATTCGCTGACGTTTTAATATGAGAGGGTTTTCTTCGATTCGATGTAGGTCTTAGGCCAGTGGATATGCTTCCCACTAACACTTCGTCTTTGATGTTCGGGTTTGTATTTTGATTAACAACCGCCGAGCCAGTAGCGCTTGGTCGGACTTCAGTAAATGCTGTAAATTACCGAACAACGCCATCCAGTATCTTGTCTGATACACCTCTGGCACGTTCACGATGTCAGCTAGCACTAGAGTATGGTCGTTTCATATATGATCATGCCACCGTATCCTCCACATGTTTCCGTTACATGCATACGAATACAATCGATTGATCTTAGTAGGTTAAGCTATTAGAATAATTGTTATATATAGTGATTAGTTAAGTTATTAGAAGTTACTAATTAACCTAATTTTGTTTACCTAAGCTGAAATTATGCACTAGGTTGATGGAAGAGTTAGTTGTTAGTAGTTCTGCTAACGGTAATTAATAACGGCCTTCTCTTCAATCACATGTATTTTATATTTGAATTACCGTTTTGTTGTTATTTGCATATATACCATACCATATATACATGCATGCCATACCATACCATATGTTGACTACCATTTTTATGTTTATATCACTGTTATATTTAGTTTGTGTTGCCTCTACGTTGAACAGCGATACATCGTTGGTTGGGATCAGCAACGTGGCTGAATGTATTCCAGGCTATGACCAATACGGAAGTGATCAGTATATTCTATGGCACCTTATACCAATCTCTCTCTCAGAGACAAAAGATAATGATCCGTCATATATGACATCACATCTTGACGACCAGTCATTCCTGAAGTGCAGTTCATGGTCAGTGAGGTTTTACCAACTGCACGTGCAGGCATTATCTCGTAAGCTCAATCGAGAGTTCTATTGCTCTAGAGTTTTGTACATTGTTCACTTGTTTAGAATTGAACAGTGTTGTGAAAGACTATCATCGAAGCCACGTGGGCATTCCTTACATACTATGTGGTGCCATCGGCTACGAGTTCACGCCGTTCCTCAATATGTACGAAAGGGGAAAGTTG